ATGTGACTCCACAAGTCTATTCAAGAGAAAAGCAAATCTAAAGTGATCTTTTGTTGAAAGAAAAATGAAACTCTCATTAACTGAAACAAAAGAAGATACAGTGGACCACGATTAAATAATTTTTGAAAAATTTGCCCATTTGCAGATATTTTTTCATTCAACGTATCTAAAGTATACAAAAGAAAATAAATGCAGCTTAGTAAGCTGAAATACCTAGCTGCAATGCTATTGACAGCAATGACATGCTATTGGCTAGCGTTTGTAAAGCAGCCAATGCAGGAGTGCCATTCATTTTCTTTGGTGCTGATTGGCTAAGAGCAAAGAAAAGGAAAACTGTGGATGTTGGCCTCTGTTGTAGTTCCAAAATGGTCTCCACTGTGCATATTAATTCATTTGAGCTGTTAAAGTAGGCAGTTACAAGCATTTTATGAGGGGATCCAAGTATTTACACATTTTAACTATTCGTGAAGAAAATTACACCCACAATTAAATTTCGATCTAGTTAGTCTAAAATGAAGGTTTTTATAGTTTTACGTGATATTTTACAGCACAGACTTTCTGTTCTATAGAGCAACTCGTGTCAAACATGCAGAAATTTGAATACCAATATTAATTCTTTTGACTTTTGAGTGTTTTGTTAATGTTGATTATGGCTTACAGTTGAGAAAATTTTAAAAACTAGATAACTCAAGCCCAAAAAAAAATTAATAGGGAAATTTGGGCCTACTGAAAAACGTGTTAACTTATTGTACAGTTCGTGTTGGTTGGGGCTCTATTTCATCATTTGCTGCATCAACAGCAGGTGGCTTGAATGCGATCAACCTGTGGCTTTATAAATGTGTTAAAAAAGCTCAGGTTGCTTTGATTATGGCCTTTAGCTTGTCTCCATTTTGGGCTGTCAAAGCTCCAACTCCACCCAAATGGGGAGTGTAGACTGGCTGAAAATTTGCACTTTTGATTAATGCCTTCATTTTAATGTGTAGTAGGAGTGTCATTAATTCACAAGTTGTCATCAGATTTTGATCTTTGCAAGTTGGTTTCACTTTGTTCCAGTTTTTTTTCATTTGTTAAAGTTTTTTATTGCTGAGCTGCTTCACAAAATTTTGATTTTCTAAACTTGAGAAAAGGAATTTGAAACTCGGCTCCTACAGTGGATGTCCAACAAAGCGGAAATTATTGAGTACCTTTCAACACGTAGAGAAACTAGAAGAAAATGTCTCGTTTGGCTTCTCTACCAGAAACTTTCTTTGTTGCTAAATAAAAAGAATCCTTTTTGTTCCAATCCAGGTAACAGCTGCAGTTTTATCTCTTGACTTCTCAGTGAATCTCATAACTGTTGCCAGTGACTATAGGTGATGAAACTGTGGATCAGAAACTAAATACCTGAACAGTTTTTTTTTTCTGTTCCTAGAGAATGTAAGAGGCAGTGCAGCATCTCTGTGTTTTAGGTCTCTTGGTTTCCTGCAGGCTCTTTTTGTCCGTTTTCCCTTCTAATGGCCTCTTTGCTATTCTGAGCGACTTTCCTGTCCCAGCTAGAGCAAAACCAGAAAGAGTTGGTCAGGAAGAAGTATGAGGCTCTCATACCCATGCATGACAAGAAACTAAGTTCTAAATTCACATCTACACTTGTGTTCCTTGGCTACCTGAGGTACTTGGTATTCTGCATTAACCTGAAAAATGAAGAAGTGAAGGAAAAATGTGCATTAGCTGGTATAGCCTTAAAAGTTGAATGGAGGACAAATAAGAGGAAGCATGAAAAATCCTCTGACACCCTCATGGGTTTAGATTTGATCTTTTATGTCTGAAGGTTGAACCATTGACTACAAGAATGCACATTAGCATCATATGATTCTTTCTATCATCAACTGTCTTTCTAAATAAGTCTTAAATTGATACAAGTCAGTTTTCCTTTTTGTATCTTGAAAAATTGTCAAACTGAGTAGCAAGCCAAGATTTTAAAGTAGAGGTTTGAAAAATAAACAGTTTTCAGTCAGACAAAGAAAGAATTGCTTCAGGGTGTTTTGGTACACTGAGATACTTTACATGCTTCCCATGAATCCAACTCCAGGACTGCAGTGGGAGCCGGAGCAGGAGGTCATAGAGTCAGAGAAGAAGAGTGTGGAACGTGGTTTCCATGAAAACACAAGACTGAAAGTAGGTTTGGGTCCTAAAGCACTTCTAGTGTCCGGTCAGTCATCAAGCATATTGCTGGGAAGAGACAATTTTTGATAAGAATTCAAAACATTTGCAATGTGTCATTTTTTGTGTTGGGACAAAGTGAAAGCCTCAAAGATTTTTTTTTTTGTTTTGTTTTTTTTTAAACTCTCAGTTCCTGTCATGTTTGCAGCTTCAGAAACATAAAACGCATCTGCTTGTGTTATTGTTCCTTAGCACGGATGAGTGAACATAAATGCAGCGATTGTTTGCCTCGTATTTACTGACAACATGGTGAAGTAACTTTATTGCTCATTTGTTTGGGACTCCAGCTCCGTAAATCTCTCAGAGCTGGTCTTTGTCAGTAGAGAAGGTTGGTAGAAAAACCCCTGATAACTGATGATTTATACACAACAGAAGAAAGTAAGATGATGGTGGGGCATTAGAGAGAGAGTCTGCCTCTGATAAAATCCAAAATCTCAGTGAGATCTTTTCACTATTATGGATTCAGTAAGTCAGTAAAATATGGGTCACTGATGCATTTGAGTTGGAGACAATAAAACGAAAAGGTACCAAGCACCGGTCAGGCAGCAGTCAGTTCATTGCCTACAACATTTTCAAAGTGGTTTAAAAAAAATTAATTTGCATTATGTAAAATTTGTTGGTCAGACATTATGGGCAGAAAGCCCAAAACATCCAACTTTCTTTAACATTTATAGTTGCACAAAGAATAAGTTTAATGTTGAGCTCATGAGTGTTTTTGCTTGTTACTTATGTCATTTAGGCTGGAACATCCTTTAACATGCCTGTTTAAAAGTAGTGAAATATTGTCATTAATGACCCCGTCATATGTAATCTATTGGAGAGTATTTTTAAAAGATTACTAAAATTTATTTTATTTTATTTTTTTAGGTAAAACATGCTGATACATGCATACAATGTCATTTCAAATAAGAAAGAAGTCTTAGAGTTGATCTGTGTTTAGAGATTATGGACCATAACATAAGAGACTCCTCTGAAAATGCTGCTAATTTTAATGGTTAAAACACTAAATATACTATAATATGTATTAGTAGCATATCAAGTAGCATTCCACCTAGATATTTTGGCTACTTTTTTTTTTGTGGTTATTTTATATATGTATGCTTTACAAAAATATCCACAAGTAGGCACATTTTTCTCAATCTCAATTAATTTAGTCACATGTCAGAGTAAATACTGAACACTTTACCAGGAATAGGTGTTTGAAAACTTTAGAGTTTTTCAAACAGGGACAGGTAAGCGGTTGCCAAAAAAAGCATAAGTAACATATAGAAACAAATATTACCTTGAGGCTAAATCACATTCGCTCAACTTGTTGAAGCCTCAAAATTCAAAGTTTCGCACTTGAAAATCGAAAATTGTCTGCTTTAACATTGGACTCGACTTGAGACTGACTTGTGACTTGCAGAATAAATACTTAAGCCTATTTTTTCCCATTTTCATATTAATAAATAATTGTAAACATGAGTTATTGCAAAAGTTTCAAGGACAAAGTGAAACTGCTATTGTGAGCTGCTGCTGGGGGGATTGTGCTTATCTTGAACAAACCCAGGAGCAGGTGATAAAGACAACCTTGTCCTCCTTCTATTTACCAGGATCTGTTTACTAAACTGCCAGTTAGTGTTTGGGAGCTGCTGTTAAACACATCAGAGTTATCAGGCTTGCAGCTGTGTAGTCACCTTTCGGCCCAGTGGGGTAAACTGACTTTTTTCTGCCTGGAAAAATAACTCTGTAAGATGAACACAGAACTTCATCAACCTTTCTGATCTAAATCATGTTCTAGAACGGGTTTTATAATGGAAGCAAATGTCTTCGTTCTGTTTTGTTAACAATACTTTTAAACTTAGTATTTTCTCACCAAAATAATAAAATGTAAATATTAAAACCACAAGAAATTTTATGTAAGTATTTCAATGTAAAATGTTGGAGTATATAGAGCCTTTCTGGTAACTGTGTGTCTTTTGTAAGTATTTACTACATCAGCTATACCAAGGGACCATCTGGTAGCATGTTTTTCCCTTCTCAGAGGACCTCAAAGACCATGGGAAATGTAAATAAAAGAATACGGGAGTGCTGCAGGCTGGACAGACTATAGATGGTTTCAACATGAACGAGAGTCCACTTTATGTCCATTAGCCAAGGGTATTATGAGGCAATTTTCCCATGTCTTACAGAGGAATCCCATTAAAATCATTCATTAGGACTCATTGTGATAATTAACTTTTACAGTAGGATTTTAAAGATCCATGTGGGAGTGAGGCTTGTGTGAAACATTTACAGGCTGTTGATGTTAGGACTTGTGCTTCCATGTTAATTTCTTTCTCAAGGTGTTTAGGCAATGACCATAAAAAATATATTTGAATACAATTTTTAGGCCACATTCATTTTAAAGTTTGGCATTAACTGATCAGAGCTCAAATTTTCTCTACAACAGAAACTGAAAGTTTCAGCAGTTGTCAAGGCTCAGTTTTCATCTATATTTTTTGAGCTGATTGCAAACACCTGCTGATTTGTTTCTGTTTCAAGTAGCCAGAGGGGTTTCATTCTCAATTCCTATAAAAGGCTCGTCTTTAACAACATAGCTGCTATGGAAATTAAAGGTTTGCTTCACTTAATCACCTGAAGGTTTACGACCAACAGGTTGAAACTGGATATGAATTCAAGATTATTTATAACCAGTGTGGGAAAAGTGACTCTTTAACTATGTATTCTTCAAAAAGGAGTTGCCATTTGTATCTTCGTGCCCAATCTTTTTTTTTTTTTTTTAGCTTTTTCTACTTATCACCCCACTCATCTAATGCACTTTGTTTTTGTTTTCAGGATTCCGCAAAATCAGCCTCGACGATCTGCGGAAGGCCTACATCGTCAAGGATGTGCAGCAGTACATCCTTCACCGGCTGGACCAGGAGGAGGCCTTGAGGCAGCACCTAACCAAGGAGACCGCTGAGATGCTCAACCAGCTTCACATCAAAAGCAGCGGCTGTTTCCTCTACCTGGAACGCGTTCTGGATGGCGTGGTGGAGAACTTCATCATGCTTCGGGAGATCCGTGACATCCCAGGCACTCTCAATGGGCTCTACCTGTGGCTCTGCCAAAGGTTGTTCGTCAGAAAACAATTTGCCAAAGTTCAGCCCATTCTTAACGTAATCTTGGCGACTTGCAGGCCACTTACAGTCAAAGAACTGTACCACGCAGTCTGGACCAAAAACATGACATTGACCATGGAGGAGTTTCAGAAAAAGATGGACATTCTCTCCAAGTTGTTGGTCGATGGCCTTGGGAGTACTAAAATCCTTTTCCACTACAGTTTTGCAGAATGGTTGCTGGATGTGAAGCACTGCACTCAGAAGTACCTGTGCAATGCAGCAGAGGGCCATCGGATGTTGGCCATGAGCTACACCTGTAGAGCAAAGCAGCTGAAACCTCTGGAAGTGCAGGAATTTGCTCTGCACCTCGTCAACTCCAACCTGCAGATTGAGCCCTGTAATCTTGCTCTTTGGATGGTCTGGAATGGAACTCCCACTAAAGACTCTCTGAGCACCTCCATACCAAGAGAGCAGGAAGTTCTGCAGCTTCTGGTCAAAGCTGGTGCTCATGTGAACAATGAAGATGATCATGCTTCATGCATTGTACAGCAAGCCCTAGAGCGAGAGGACTCGATAAGAACATTACTTGACAACGGGGCTTCTGTAAACCAGTGTGACTCTAATGGAAGAACTCTACTGGCCAATGCTGCATACAGTGGAAATCTTGATGTGGTTAATTTGCTCATATCTAGAGGGTCGAACATGGAGTTGGAAGACAACCATGGACAAACGGCGCTTACTCTAGCTGCGAGGCAGGGTCATACCAAAGTGGTCAACTGCCTTATTGGTTGTGAAGCAGATATAAACCACACGGATCATGATGGGTGGACCGCACTCCGCTCTGCAGCTTGGGGCGGACACTCTGAGGTTGTGTCTGCTCTTCTTTATGCTGGAGCCAAAGTGGACTGTGCTGATGCAGATGGTAGAACTGCACTGAGGGCGGCGGCTTGGGGAGGCCATGAAGATATTGTGTTAAATCTTCTTCAGCACGGAGCTGAAGTCAACAAAGCAGACAATGAAGGAAGAACGGCTCTCATTGCTGCAGCATACATGGGGCACAGAGAAATTGTGGAGCACCTGCTGGACCACGGAGCTGAAGTTAATCATGAAGATGTCGATGGGAGGACTGCCCTGTCTGTGGCTGCTCTCTGTATTCCTGCTAGTAAAGGTCACGCATCTGTTGTGAGCCTTCTGATTGACAGGGGCGCAGAGGTTGACCACTGTGACAAAGACTGCATGACTCCCCTGCTTGTGGCTGGCTATGAAGGACATGTGGATGTAGTTGATTTGCTCTTGGAAGGCGGCGCTGATGTGGATCACACAGACAAGAATGGGCGCACCCCTCTCCTGGCAGCTGCATCAATGGGCCATGCGTCTGTGGTCAACACGCTACTTTTCTGGGGAGCCGCTGTGGATAGCATTGACAGCGAGGGAAGGACGGTGCTGAGCATCGCCTCGGCTCAGGGAAATGTGGAGGTGGTCCGAACTCTGCTGGACAGAGGGCTGGATGAGAACCACAGGGACGACGCAGGCTGGACCCCGCTACACATGGCTTCATTTGAGGGCCACCGGCAAGTGTGCGATGCTCTTATTGAACAAGGTGCTCGCTGCTCAGAGGTGGATAATGATGGTAGAATACCACTGATATTGGCTGCACAAGAAGGACATTATGACTGTGTGCAAATTCTCCTGGAGAACAAGTCAAACATTGACCAGAGGGGGTACGACGGAAGGAATGCTCTCAGGGTATCTGCACTTGAGGGCCACAGAGACATTGTTGAACTGCTGCTGAGCCATGGTGCTGATATAGATTGTAAAGACGCAGATGGTCGCCCAACACTTTACATAATGGCACTTGAAAATCAGCTGGCCATGACGGAGTATTTCCTTGAAAACGGTGCGAACGTTGAAGCTTGCGACACGGAGGGCAGGACAGCCCTCCATGTATCCTGCTGGCAGGGACATGTTGAGATGGTGAGGCTGCTCATCAACTACCATGCTGACGTGAACGCCTGCGACAATGAGAAGCGATCCGCTCTGCAGTCTGCAGCGTGGCAGGGCCACACCAAAGTGGTTCAGTTTTTGATAGAGAATGGAGCGCATGTGGATCATACGTGCAACCAGGGAGCAACTGCTCTGGGTATAGCTGCCCAGGAGGGACACATCGATGTCGTGCAGATACTGCTGGAAAACGGCGCAGACCCCAACCACGCTGATCAATTTGGCCGCACGGCAATGAGAGTGGCAGCAAAAGGTGGCCACTCAATGATCATTAAAATCTTAGAAAAATACGGAGCCACAACATTAAATGGCTGCAACCCTTCCCCCGTTCATACCATGGAGGAGAAAACACCTTTGGCAGTGACCGGCAAAATGCATTCCCTCACCATTAAATCGAGCAGTTCTGGCAGCACAGGGGTGGGAGACGTGCAGTCATCTGGACGCTGTCTCCCTGACGGACCCGTCCATGCTTTCAGCTCGCCATCAGAATCTCCCGACTCCACTGTGGACAGACAGAAGTCATCCCTATCAAACAATTCCCTCAAGAGTTCAAAAAACTCCTCTTTAAGAACCACGTCGTCCACGGCTACAGCTCAAACTGTACCTATTGACAGTTTCCATGGAATGACGTTTACAGAGCAGATTCAACAGCACTCACTGCCTCGGAGCCGAAGCAGACAGTCGATTGTGTCCCCTTGCTCTACAACAAAGTCCGTCAATCAGCAGCCATCGTCTCCATCCAACGAATTTGAATGGTCTCAGCTGAAGTCAGGTCTGAAGTCGGCAAAGGGAACTAAGACAGGAAACGGAACTCAAAACAGCAAAGCAGCTCTAGGAGACAAGAAGAAAACAAAAAACAGTGGATCCAGCCAAGGCCAGGTTTTGGAGTACGAGATGACCCAGTTTGATAAGAGAATGGCTTTCAACCAGTCAGTTGCCAATATTGCAGTGAAGGATCCTCACTGTAAGATCATGATCGGTGGTTCCATGCAACAGGACAGAGGCCAGTGCCAAGACCCGTTCTTCATCCAGCCACAGAGCTGCTCAGAGAAGAAAAGGAACGGGATTATGACCAACCCCAAATATCACCTACAGGGTAACCAGGTCTTCTTGGGTCGAGTGTCAGTTCCACGGACTGTGCAGAACAGGGGCCACCAGGATGTGTTAGAGAACTACCCCATTGGGGAAACAGAGCTGAGCCTTAAACAAGCCCTGAAGCTGCAGATTGAAGGATCCGACCCAGGGTTTAACTACAAAAAGGAGACTCCGTTATAGCTGGTAATAAACCTAACAGCATGTTTTGCACTGAATGAAAGACGTGGTGTGAATTCATCACCGCTGTGAAGGAAGGTCAGATTTCATTATTTATGGCAGGAGCATAATCAGAAACTGAAATTGTTTTAGAAAAATCCAAGCTTTGATTTAAGCACATTTATCAATTTCAAAATCACTTAGGTCTAAATTATTAATACCCTTGTTAAAACTTTGTACAATTGCCTTTTGCCAAAAGTAGAACATGTTTTTTCATTACATTTTCAAGGTTGGACCAACTAAGAGGAATCGTTGATTATTGTTCTGTACAATCTTTCTGGATTTAGAGTCATAGGCCCCCTCTGATCTCTTCACCTCACCCTACAGGTTGTATAACATCTAACTTTAGAGAGGACCACTGATGACTGTGGAAGAAGGTTGATTAGTGTCCTCATGATATTTATTTAAAATCTCTTGGTTTTTCAAAGAGTTGGTAAATCCATGGACTTTAACAAGGTTCTTATGGCCTTTTTATAGTTTTTCTTAGTTGTTTTAGTGCATTTCTAACACCACTATTAATATTTGCGCAACAGCTACTGTATTTCTCAAAACAATTGGTACAAACTACAAAACATAGTTGATAACCTGTATGATAACCGTTTAATAAGTGTCACTTGTTAAACATGGATAGTTCATTCCTTAAAAACAAGTTTTCATGTCATTGAAAGTGCCATCAAAATGAAAAGTCCTGAGACTTTTGTTTATGAACCAGGTGGCTTTCCATGTTTCCATCATAATAGTTCACTCTGTGTTTTCAAATTCAAGTAAGTATGATCTTTGTGACCCTGTCTGAAAATGCTCAGTAGAGCTCTATATACTATTTTTCCAGACATTTGAAATCTAGTTACATGTGATTGAGTGCAAGACATTGAACACTCATGTTTTACATTTTTACTGCATGTGTTCTTTCTTTTACACAATGCTGTGAACAAATTAAAGCTGCAAAATGCAACATAGTTTACAATAAACATTAAATTTATTGTGAAGGTATCTGTGGGTGTAGCAATAAATGATCAATCAGTGGTTTTGTCAAAAATAATTCTCAGTTTTGAGGATGGATTTTTCTCCATTTTACAGTAAGAGATTTTGTTCCTGCAATAAAAGATGGAGGTATTTCAAAGATTTTCACACCTCTTTCTTCAGTAGTGCCAACAATTGTTTTCCCCTACAAAACAAACAAAAAAACTAACAGTTTTCTTCTCTTTTTTTGCTGTTTTTAGATGTTCTGACCACCATCCATCATGCTGACATTGGGGAGAATGTGCCAAAGCAACAGTTTCCGTCTGCATAACAAAACTACATTGAATTCCCCCCATCCTCCCTTCGTGGGACGCCATAAAACAACTCTCTGCCTGCAGCGTATGTGAACTGATACTTTGATGTGCCTACATCTGTTACAGCCTTCTGTTTTCATTCAAAATATCATTTTAATTTAATGTTACTATTTAATAAGCCGTGTATGCACTTTTAAAATAATAAACTGACAGACATACATGTTTTTTCCCCTTCGCTTTGTATCCCATTCATGTTTTATGAGCTGTTTGAGAAGAAACATGCCAATTCTTTCATTATTATTTTGTAGTATTTTGTCTCACTGACAGCAGTGTACCAGTGGGTGCATTGTTCCAAACAGACAGTAACTGATGTCATGGTTGTCATTCATCGCCTTTCTAGAGACCCCAAATAATCTGTGTTACCTTTGATCAGAGTGCTAAAACCTTTTGTTGCGTGTAACATTTTAAAAGCAGTTTACTTGGATATAAGGCGTATTTATTTTTTAGGAAAACAAGCCACTTTTGTTGCATTTTTATTTGTGTTGCATTCTACCATGGTGCTGTGTTCAGAAGATGCCTGCAGACATTTTGGGACTTTTTTTTGCCTTTTAAATATCTGAGCAGGAGGGAGGTTCATTTATAATGTAAAACAAATTTGATTTCGTCCCTATGGGATTTTTCTGTTTTTATATTGTATGTATGTGTGTGTGTGGTGTTTTTATGTGCAAGAGTATTTAAGTAACCGTTGTGTATCGTCAGCAAGGTTTTGGTGCTAAATGCAGCATTTTTTTTGTTTTCAGTTAGCATTTCTCAGCAGCTCAGCAAACAGAACTCCAGCTTTGTTTCTGTATCATTTTCATTATATTCTGCTGGACTTTTCAGGGTCGTGACACAAAAAGGGTTCAGCCATTAAGACAGCCCCTCGCTGTTGGTGATATTGTTTGAAATGCAGACTTTCAAAAGCCAAAGTTGAAACAGCATACACTGTCCCGCCTCTTCTTGGAGGAGGAGTTTGGTCAACCATGACTCGGAGGGAACTGAAACATCTGTTTCTTATGAACCGAGCGGAGCTGCTTTAGCGTTTACAGGCTATGTTACATCTTTGCAGGCTTCTCAAAATGTTCACAGTGAGCTATATTTTTGCCAAAAGCTGGGATTTTGGGGGAAGTAGAAAACTTATCGCATGCACAAACACCTATAAGCCCCCAGTGAAACCTCTCTGTGTGCCACGAAGAGTGAATGGAAGGATTTTAGGCAGGAAATCATGATGTATAGTCTTATTGAACAGTTCTCTTGTTGGTCTCGAACCTGTTTTGTCTGTCCACTTTGATTTGACTCAGTGATTGGATTGTAAATAGCTTATCGTGTACATTTAACTTTCATTAAAATAATTTCTGTATTATACGAAGCTGAATTTTCTGATGTATATTAAAAGTGCTTAATAAACATATTTGCTTTACTGCTGAATAATGAGTCCTGACCATTTTCTCAATTACACCAAGATATGAAAAACAAAAAGATGTCTGGAATCTTGTGTGACTAAGATAATTTAAAATCTACCAAGTCTCTCCAACTAATCAACCTCATAACCGATGAATCAGTCTGAAGGATGAATGCTTGTAATATTGAAATGTTTGAATTTCCAGACCTTCTCGTGTCACATCGTTTAAATCATGTATTGTTCTTTTTGTCATTTTTTATTTTTCCTCTATCCTACCTTTCATTTTCCTGGTTTCCCTTTTCTTTCCTTGTGACCCAACTCCCTTCTCCAGGTCCTTTTTTATCCTTTTGTTTTTGCACAAAAAAGGATCAAGTTTTCTCAGTATGCACACCTCAATATGTGGGTTGATAAACGAGGATAAACGAGAGGTAATAAGAGAAATGCCAAGGCAGAAAGATTTTTTTTAAACTCTTTCTTTACACTTGAAAGGGAAAAATATCTTATTTAGCTAAAATCTGATGACTGGAACTGTTTTCATGTTACCGTTTCTGTAAAATGTGTATCAACCCATTGCAGAAAAAAAACTAAATGGGAAGTGTTTTTGGCTAGCACTAAAAATCGAGCAGAAGCATTTTGAAGTGACCCAGAGAAAAACAGTTAAAGTAGGTGAAATGTAAAATCTACAGCAATAAAGTTTAACTTTGAGATATGTGAGGTTTACTAAATTCTAGGCGGAAACCTGACTTCTCTGCCACACAAAAGCTTTTGTTTCAACATCAGCAGAATTTTTACATCAGAAATCTGCTAATAACTCAGTTTCTCGCTTTAAATATAAATATATTTTTTTCTCTCTTCACTGTGGAGATCCTTTTTCCGTCGCGTTGAGGCTGTGAAACCACAGCATGTGCTGTTAATACTTAACTTCAGTGTTGGTCATTTGATATGCAGAGGCCAAACCAGGACACTGCAGGCATCCAAACACATGGATCAAACTGAAATGGAACAACAGGCGAGCGTGCCAAAGCGCTATCGCTGCCCCCATTTTATCCCAGAGTTCATTCAGTTCGTCGCAGCCAAAAGCAAACTGAGAAAGAGATTCAGCAAAAACAAAGCTTCATGAATTGTTTAGCTCAAGTGATGCATTGCCCAAATAAAACTTTCAGAAGCATTTAACCCCATGAACACTGCTTTACCCCTTGACCTCTAATTAAAGTTCAGTGGGCTGAATTTTCACCAACATTTCATCAAAGAAGCAGAGGGCTTTAAGTGGCATTTCGTCTTGTCAGCCATCAGCGCAGCATTTCCCTGCATGCTTCCAGGGTGGATGTTAATGAGCAAACCATCTGGCGCTGACGTCATGCAGTTCTCACTGTCCGAGTTCCTTGCAGACCAACTGCCAATGTCCACATCTGGTTCTTCTCCACCCATGCCCTTGTTTTGGATACAGAGCTAACAAGCTCCCACGCAAAATGCATAACTTGGCGACAGTTTTGAGGTCAACTTGTTCCAGACATTTTTTTGTTTAGACCCTCTGGCTTTGCCCTGCATGCCGGGTTTCATCCTCTAATGCTTTCGCTTCATTTGCATTAATGCAGCTGCAGATTTTCAGCCCTATGAGCTCACGGTAATTAGGAAATCAAAAATATTGTCATGTCCTTGAGGAGGAAGATTTTCTCAGCCCAAAGTGACGCAAGCAATGAAACATTATTTCCATTCTTAAAGCCATATCTTTCTAAATACTTGGAGCAAAAGCCGATCAGAAGAAAATGTTACTTGGGAGAGTTGCATTATGTTGACCTTTCGACAAGCTGTTTATCTGTCTGAAAATTGTTTCATTCTCTCTCTCTCTCTCTTTCTCTCTCTAAAAACTAAATAGTTTGGAAGTAAATTTTATTTTACTCAGGTTACAAAAATATTCTAGCCTGGCTTGGATTTGCAAAGTTGTATCTGAATGAACCTCACATCTTAAGGAACAATGTCCTTCAAACAGATAAACCCAAAGCAGAGATTGTTGGCAGCATTGCACAGCAGCGTGTTTGCATAAAAGCAGAACATATCATCACAGCCAGGTGGTGGAAAGAAGATGATTAGGGTTTGTTCTGTAGCTGCAGGATCTGTGCATCCTGCAGTCATCAAATGGACTTTCTTTCAGCCTCAACCTGCTGATTCTGCTTCATGAAACTGCGGGATTTTTAGTCACATCTAACTTTTAGTTGAAGCCACCAGCGTGCATGCAAGTGTTAAAACTCCACTAGCAATCATGAAGCCATTTTTATTGATCTAAGACATTATCTTCCCCCTCCAGTTGTGCTGTTGGCTGCGATAAATCTTGGTTACATCTGCTATACAGTTTTTGGAGTCTTGTACTGCCAGTGAGCTATGATAAAGTTAGTATTTGATGCTTGTGAAGCAGCTTCACTGCTAAAGTTAACTTGGCCACCCTTCAGGGAGTCGTTCTGCTCTGGATTTCTGTCGCCACTGTGGGACATGACGGGGCATTTACGAGCCGTTTAGAGGCTGTGCGTATTAAACACAGTGAAAAACAACATAAAGCTCTCAGATCGGGGGAAACTGCTTACAAACTGCATGAATTTTCACTGAAGCTTTTATCTGTTGCAGTGCAGCGCTGATACAGTTGAATTAAAATTCTGGAAAAGAGCTTGTGGCTTTGAACGCAGCCTCCACTCGACAACAATGCAGCACCTCACTGCCAACAAAGCTAGAAAACGAGAGATTACTGACATACTTTACTCCTCTTTGTAGCCTGTTTACATAATCCCTGTGGTCCCTCATCAAGAAGCATGGATGAAAAGCTTTCATCAGTTCACATTTAAAAAGCCTCTTTTCTTTATGAAACTCAACTCAGCAGTCCAGGATGCATGCAGGTGGGCGATTTTTACGAAACACTGATCGGGATTCATAACACAACAGAAAACAAAGACTTTAAAAAGAGTTAAATAATAGCTGTGAGGCTGCTGTGTGTAAAGGGTTAGAGATACGTCACTGCACATCATTAATCACTGCGCTTGAAGCCAAGGACAATAAATGGACTCATGCTCAACACAATAAAAGGATTGTTGCTCCACATGCTGCAAGACTCTGGTATGAAACTTGTGCAGAACCAGAAGGCTCCACACTCTGTTTCTATCTCAGCTTCTGAGTTATGAGGAAGTGAGAAAGCCATCATTTTTAGAGCATGAAGGAAATCCAGATTCAGAAGCATTAAGTGCTGTTTCTAAGCATCAGAAGATGAAAGATTTATTTCTAAACCACCAGGCATGTCATTCATTTCACCACTTTTAAATTAAATGTTATGCATCTGATACATGAGAAGCAAACTTCTCATGTATCAGATGATCCCTGTTAAGGTAAAACCACTCTGCTTTCAGGTTTTAATCAAGTTTTTATTTTAGAAAAAGAGGCAACTGCAACTGAACCAAGAGTTCAGAACTAGAGAGGCTCATCTGAAACTTGAACATTGGACACAGATACAGAACACTGTGTGCATTACAACCACATAATTCTATAAGAGAGTTTCAAACATATAACTGGTATATTAGTGTCATTCTCTGTAGAAATTCAATGCATATATTGCAAGACAAAAAAATAAAAAAGGTAAACTTGCATTTATTATACCTATATTTAAAAATATTATTCAGTTCTTTATCATTTTAACCAAAGTTATAAAGAGCCATTGTGGACGATCCAAAGAGTCACTTGCTGCTGCAGGTTGCAGACGCCTGTGGACAGAATCTTTATCTCTTTTTGTGTATGGAAACTGCTCTGATTGACTGACAAACAACAGGATAATTATTTTTGTTACAGCAAAAGCTAACAGTGAATACTAAGGAACCAATTTGCAAGCTTACGAGTAGTAGTATAAAAAATAAGTTGCTTGTCACATACATTTAGTGGCAGCGTTAAGCTCCTCTAAGCTGAGAGACGCAGTGACATCATAGTATCTTCTGCCAGAGTCTTTCTGCTGATGAACTTCATGTGTGCGGCACAAACAGAATGATGAGAAGCAGATTTGCCTGAAACACGATGTGAGAATTTAGCACTCACTTCCTGGGTTTTTTATTAGACCTGAGCCACTAAATCGCCTTATTATTCAGAACTATTATTGCAGGGAGGTAAGGAAATTTCACTGCTGCCAAAGGTCCTTGACTTCACTTCATGGCTCCAGGTCTCTCTGGCTTCTTTTCCTCCATGTTCTTCTGCAATCATGCCTTCAGTTCTTTCTCTTGGTTTGTTACTAAATTACTAACTTTGCTCTTTCATTCCTTTTCTTCATCTGCATCTTCCTCTTTATGCTGGGTGGTTTTTGTTTACCATGCC